TTCCTGTTCAGCCTTGTTGACACCACCACAACAAAAGTAGAGCACTTCCACTGCCTCCTTGCACATGAATGAAGTGGAATTTCAGCTTCCCCATCAGCTCTGTTGACACCTTTGTGGGGAAAGTGGGGCACTGCCCTGTACTGTCTTGTTGCTTTTGAGTGGGCGTATAAGACCAGCTCCCTGGGGGAAGAAAAGATGATCAGCTCCCCACTGGGCCCCATGGCCATCTGGGAAAGGGGAAGTGAAAGGGTGATTCATCCCACTTTGTTGCTCCAGGGTGCACGTGAAGCTCATTTTTCTGCTGGGCCCTGTAGACATCACAGGGAGGGGAGATGGGAAGGATGGTGCCAACTATCCCACCACCCACCACTTCTTTTCTCCTCATGGATACCAGGTCGAGTTGGAGGCACAGTTACCCACTGGGCCCCACTGGCACTGGGGACAGTGTGGGGAAGACAGTAGTGCCAGGTAGCCTGCTTCCAATCATATTGTTTTATACATTCATCAATTGATGGACATTTGCATTGTTTCCACTTTGGGGCTATTATGAGTAATACTATTTTGAAATTTGTGTACAGGTGTTTGTGTGGGCATGTGTTTTCATTTGGGAGGGAGTATATACCTAAGAGTAAAATTCTGGGGTTGTATGCTAACTTCGCTTATTCATTTGAGGAACTGTCAGATTGTTTCCAAAGTAGTTTACCATTTACATTACCACCAGCAGTTTGTAAGGGCTATCATTTTGTCATACCCTCACCAACACTTATCAGACTGTTTGATCATGGTCATCCTAGTGGGCATGAAATGGTATCTTGTTGTGGTTTTAATTGCATTTCCCTAATGACTGGTGATGGTGAGCATCTTTTCATGTGCTTATTTGGCCATCTTTTTTTTGAGAAATGTCCGTTCAGATCTCTTGCCTATGTTTTTATTATTGAGAAGAAATTCACATACCATAAAATTCACCCTTTTAAAATATTCAGTAATTTTAGTGTGTATACAAAGCTGTGACATTATTACCAACATCTAAATTCGGAACATTTTCATCAGATCATAAACAAATTCTGTACCAATTAGCAATCAGTCCCCATTCTACTTTCTCCCTAGTCCCTGGCTACCACTAATCTACTTTCTGTCCCTGTAGATTTGACTATTCAGGACATTTCATATAAATGAATAGTACACAAGATGTTTTGTGTCTGGCTTCTTTAACTTAGCATGTTATGTTTTGGGGGTTCATCCATGTTGTGGCATGTATCAATACTTCACCCATTTTATTGCTGAATAATATCACATTGTATGGATAGTCCATATTTTGTTTATCCACTTGGATTGATGAACATTTGGGTTGTTTCTGCTTTTGGTTTCTATAAATAATGCTCTTACAAATTTTTGTGAACATGATTTTCTGTGGACGTATTTTTAATTGCTCTTGGGGAATACATCCAGGAGTGGAATTGCTTAGTCACATGGTGACTCCATGTTTAACATTTTGAGGAATTGCCATTTTCACTGACTAATAATATTGAACATCTTTTCATGCTTTTTGGCCATTTGTATATCTTTTTTGGGAGAAATGTCTATTCAAATCCTTTGCCCATTTTTAAATTGGGTCATTCGTTTTTTTGTTGAGTTGTGAGAGTTCTTTATATACTCTGGATATTAGCTTGTTATATTAACCCTGTTTTTGCCCTTTCTGGTTTCCCTCATTTGTTCTTGTGGATTTGAATTATTTTCTTGTGTTGCATCCTTACTTTAATACAGCTCTATTCCCACCTACACCTATATATTTCAATTTGTATAGGCCCTACAATATAACTATATACATTTTGTGTTTTACAGTCCATTTTAAATCAGTAGAAGAAAGGATAAGAAAAACACATTTTTGCTACCTTATATTATTATTATTTTTTTAAGATTTTTATTGGGGAATTGGGAGAGGGGAACAGTGTTGGGGAATCGGGGAAGGGGAGCAGACAAGTTGCTGTTCTTTGGTTCTTCAGTCTAGTTGTGGAGGACGTCGCTTCACTGGCCCATGTTGATATTATCATTGCATTCTTCCCGGGTGAGGCAGATCGGTCACTGGCCTCTGGATGGCCACTCACAGTGGCTCTTGGCAGCTTACACCAGCTGCTGGCCGCTCATGCTGGCTGCTGGCCATGCACGGTAGCTTATGGCAGCCCACTGCAGCAGGGCTGCAGCCTACGCCGTCGCCGGCAACTCACGGCAGCCCAGCTCCAGGTTGAGCCGTTGTTCACCATCTTGGCTGTAAAGGGCGCAGTGTCACTGGCCCTCATGTGGGATCCNGAACTCAGAACAGCTGCCATCAGTACTGGGCCTGGGGTAGCTCCGTAAAAAGCCAGGACACCCCGAGGCCTGCTGCCACCTGCTGGGTCCCTTAAGGTTCACTCACTGATAAAGCCTCATGCAGTTGGGTGAGGCAGGGTCTCAGGGAGTCACTAGACTGGGAAGAGTTGTGGTCACAGGGTTAATGTAGATTCTGGCTTGGTGCTAGTGCTGAGCGTGCAGCTACTCAGCAAAAGTCTCAGAGTACCCCAAGGCCAGAGTGCCACCCACTTGGAGCCCCTGGACTCTTAATAGTTTTCCAGGAAAGAGTGCAATGTGGGCAGGGCTGGCTGCTCAGGAGAAAGTGCCTCTTGTCTTGGGGGAGTTGGGGGGGATGGGGTACCAACAGAGCTCACCACACCAATTCGGATTCAGATTTGGCCATGAGTGTGAGAGGAGGGCTCAACACAGGAAAGATGATGCGCCCACATGCCAGCTTCCCAGGAGGAAGACCCCACACAGGGAAAATGGCTACTGTCCTCCAATACTCACCCTAAAGCTACACACCTCAGTCTGCCCGCCATGTGCCTCCGACACTGCAGAGTCACTGTCCCTCTGCCAGAGCCCAGGGTCAGTGCCTGGGAGTGAGAGTCTGTGTGCAGTTCCTTTGAGAGGATGTCTGGGTTTCCTGCAGCTTTCCATCCCACCTGGATTGTCGGCCCACTGTTTTTCACAGCCAGATGTTGTGTGGGTTCCTCTTCCTGGCAGCATTACTCTGGACTGGGGAGTCTGGTGTGGAGCTTGGGTCCCTCACTACTCTGGGGGGAACCTCTGTTGCCAAGATAACCCTCCTGGTTCTCAACCACCACACGGAGGTTTGGGGCCGACCCGTTTCACTTCTCTGTCCCTCCTAGCAGTCTCCACATTGCTGCTTCTTTATATCCTTAGTTATAAAACTTTTGTTCAGCCAGGCTTCACATGGTTCTTCAGGTTGATTGTTCTGTAACTTAGTGGTAATTTTCATGTGTTCACAGAAGGAAGCAGGCACATTGTTTGTCTACTCTGCCATCTCAGATCTCTCTCCACCTTCCCACGTTTTGATTTTTCACGTGGTACTCCAAGAGGAAGGGTGCTGTTACTTAAACTCTTACTGCCACTTGCCCCTCACATTTTCTTACTGTTAAAAGTTCTAAGCTGGGAGTATGCCCTGATTTCCCGCCACTTTGACACCGCTGGTCTTGCTGCTACTACCAGCAGTCATCCAAGAGATGTGTTGAGTAATTTTTCTTGGCAGTACCCCTTGATGATTTTCTTACTGCCACTCTGGGTTTTGCCCAAGTTCACCTTAGTTCTCCTATATAGGGAACTTTGCAGGATTTTTTCCCTTAAGTATGGATTGGATAATATAAGGAAAAGTAAAGGAGTATGGATTTAAAGGTATTGGAATTCAACGCTTGCTGAAAATAGTTCTCAGTTGATTGTGCACTTGTTGGAATCTAACCACTCCACCAGGGGGAGCTCTCTTTCACCAAGAAATCCAGAGTTTCCCACTTGGGACCTTGTTAGGTCCTCCCTGGTCTGTCTGTGCTGTGTATGACTCCAGAGGGACCAATACTACTGGTAGCCTCCATTTGTGGACAGCTTCTATGTTCCAGACTTACTGTATGTTAGCGTCTCTGCTTTAGAAAAAAGTGCTATCTAAAACAAATGCAATAACAGTGTCTACTTGTTACTTCTCTTGTAGAATAATGAGGTTTTTGTCCCCAAGGTAACTCTTGAGCTAACAAGCATAAGAGTCAGACGAACCTTTTTCCTTGCCCTTTCTTCTGTTGGAATGTTACCTCTTAGTTGGTGCTTCTCACCAGGGATTCTGTTGCCTTTAGAGGTAGGACAACTCTTCATTGTACAGGAGAACCCCAGCACTGAAGACATTTAGTATCCCTGCTCCCCCTCACTGAACCCAGTAATGTCCCCAAGTTACAGGAACAAAAAAAACCCTACACATCTCCAAATGCCTCCAGGAAGGTTGTAATACCTCTCATCGTGATCCATGATCCATGAGGTAAGCTGTTTTTACCTTTCCAAAAACCATCTTTTTCATTAAAATTGCCCTCATTGTATAAATGTAGCTAATTTTTAATTTGGAAAAAAACTGGAAAAATAAAAACCTTATTTTATATCTAACTTCTTTAAAGTGCATCTCATCTATAAAGGTAGTCAGTTGTTCTTTATTGGGTTGACATTGGGATGGGAAGTATTTTCTTAAATGTTGGCTAATGAGTCAAGGGAAAATATAATTAAAGATAAATAAATGAAGTATTTAAGTTAGTTTTAAAGGAAAACAGAAAACATATTAAGAACTAGCTTCAGAATGAGACAGACCTGGATTTAAATCTTAGTTTTACTACTTTTTGAAAAAAAAACAAGCAAGAAAACCCTTTATTTTGGGAAATTTCAAACATTTACAAAAGTATACAGAATACAGTAAAGATCCCTATGAAGGTACCACCCCTACCCCATGTAGGTATCACCTACCCATGGAAGTACTATCACCCAATTTTAACAATTTCAGCTCACTTACTTCCTTCACTCTTTTCCTCTGCTTCCCTTTACTTCATTTCATTCATTAACCACGTCATCATTAATTTAAAAAAAATAATTTCTTTACATTATCAAATATCTAAACTTCACTCAAATTTCTGATTGTCTTGTAGATGCATTTGTTTGAATCTGGATCCAACAAAGGTAATATTGTAATTGATCTTACATCTCTTTGAAACTTGGGCTGCCCCATATCTCTTTTTTCTTATAATTTATTTGTTGAAGAAGCCAGGTTTTTTGCCCTGTAGAGTTTGCCACAATCTGTATTTTGCTGATTATATTCACATGGTATTTCCTCTAAACTGAATTGGTAGAGGGATATAGAGTCTAGTCATGTTGTTTTTTATTGACAACAGTATTTCATGGGGAGGGGGTGGGAGAAGGACAAATGAAAATATTGCAAAAATTTCTTAACATTTTAAAGTTGCCTTTTTCTTGACTCAGCATTTGTTTGGTTGGTGTACATCTTCCAGTATTTTCCAGAGTTCTGACAGAGTTGGTTCTTACAGCTTTTGATTTTTTTTTATGTTTCTGTGGTGGGATGGGTGTTTGGAGCTGCCTACTCCTCCGTCCTGTCGATGTCATTCCTCTCTTTTATTCTTGAAGAATATTTTTGCCAGATACAAAATTTGCATATGACAGTAATTTTCTTGCAAGAAACTTGAAAAATGTTGTACCACTTCCTTCTGGCCTTCATTCTTTTAGATGAGACATTGCTATCATTCAGATTGGACCATTCAGATTGGTCCTTTCTTAGAAATGTGTCATTTCACTTTAGTTGCTTTCAAGATTTTTTTGTCTTCATTTTTCGGAAGTTTTATTATGATGCATCTTGGCATGTATTTCTTTAGTTGTATCCAATTTAAGGTTCATTTAGCTTCTTCAACAAGTGGGTTTATGTTTTCCCCCAGATTTGGGAGATTTTTCAGCCGTTAATTATTTCTTTGAATACTTTTTCAATCCCACTCTCTCTCTGCTTTCCCTCTGGGACTCAGTCATACGAATGTTAGCTATTCAGTTAATGTCCTTACAGGCCTCTGAGAATCTGTTCGTTTTTATTAGTCTATTTTTCTCTCTGTTGTTCAAACTATGTAATTTCTGTTGATCTGTCCTCAAGGTCACTAATTATATTCTTTGTCATCTCCACTATACACACACACACACACACACACACACACACACACACACACGCACGCACACACATATGCACATATATATGTATATATACACATATATCACATATTTATATTTTTTTTCAATTCTGTTATTTCTACTTCTATAAAACCTACTTTAGGCTGAGAATTTCTATTTATTTCTTTGTTTTAAGAGAATTGGTAATTGTTGAATCATTTTTAGGATAGCTTCTTTAAAAATCCTTATTGGAATGGAAAGAGAACTGACTCTGGGTGGTGAACACACAATGTGATATATAGATGATGTATTACAGAATTGTACACCTGAAATCTATGTAGCTTTGCTAACAGTTGTCACCCCAATAAGCTTTAATTAAAAAAAAATCCTTATTGGATATTATCAACATACCATTTGTCTCTGTTTTGACATCTGTTTTTGTTTTTTTTTTTTNTTTTTTTAAGTTTCAGGTGTACAAAACAATGTAATAGTTAGACATTTACACCCGTCACAAAGTGATAACCCCCTCCTCCAATCTACCACCCCTCTGACATCATATATAGCTGTTACAGTTCCATTGACTCTCTTCTCTACGCTGTACTCCACATCCTGTGACAATATATATATATTAAATTGTTGACATTGAATATTATTCAGCTTCAGCTTCAGGTGTACAGCGCAGTGGTCATGCATCTACACCGTCCATGAAGTGGTGTCCTAAATAAGACAAGTGTCCATCTGACACCCTACAAAATCTTTATAACATTATTATATTCCCCAAACTGTTTTTCATATCCCCGTAGCAATATTGTGGCTACAGATTGGTGCAGCCACTATAGTAATCACTATGGAGGTATTTAAAAAAACTGGAAATGAAATGACCTTATGACCTACCACTTCCAAAATGCTAATTCAAAAACATATATGCACCCCTGTGTTTACTGCAGCACTGTTCACAATAGCCAAGACATGGAAACAACCAAAATGCCCATTGGTAGATGAATGGGCTAAGAAACTGTAGTACATTTATACAATGGAGTTTTACATGGCCATAAAGAAGAATGAAATCTTACCATTTGCAATGATATGGATGGACCTAAAAGGGCTTTGTTTTTTTGACAGCTCAACAAAAGGAGACACATCTTCATAATAACCTGTATGAATACCTGCTGTTAAGTAAATGCAAACTGCTTACCTAATGCAGTGGTTCTCAGAGCATCAGCATCATTAGAAACCAATTAGAAATGCAGATTCTCAGCCCCACCCAGACCTACTGTCATCTGTGTTTTTAAGAAAGCCCTCCAAGTGGTTCTGTTGGGTGTTAAATTAGGAATTGTTGACCTCTTGGTAAGTTTAGAAGTATCTGTGTTAGTGATGCTAATTTAAACCTGTAGGAATAACTAGCCAGGTATGGCTGTTTGTGGGAAAAGGTGAGAGTATAGAAATCTTGCTTGTAAAAACCAGCTTCACCTCTTGTTAACATTTTACCCATTTGTTTTGGCATAATGTGTTTTCTGAAGAATCTGAACCAAACAGCATATTTCTTTAAATGATGAAATTGCTAGGATCTTGCTGAAGTTTTGTTTTTCCCTGATATATGAGAAGTCTCCAGAGAGTGAGGGACCCTCCCAAAGGTGTGTTTAAGGTGTGAAATCACAGAAGCCAGTGAAGTCCATAGTGAACTGCCAGACGTGTATATTCAAGGCAGCCCTTAATACTTTCCCTGAAGACTTACCTTGTTAGAACGGTTGGAGGGGACCAAAAAAAGAAAAGATGATTTTAAAAAAAATGTTGCCTGCCTGCCCTAGGGGAGACTTGAGGAGAAAAGGGATTCTAGATTCAGAGGTGAGGACATTTCAGTTTAAAAGAAATCTGTTTTGTTTTATTACATAAAGAATTATAAGGAGTGCTTTAAGGACAAAATACTGATATTAGGAAACTATGTTTTATGGCATCTGAGCCACTGGGTAAATCTTTAGTCAGCCCTTCATGAGGAGGGGATGTGAATAAAATGTGTAATTGATAATTAGGGAAGGCATCCTAAAGGAGAGAAAATTTGGGCTCAGGGTTGGAGTTGTTGTCACCATGCATATTTGTCTGAAAATAATATAGATCCAGAAGGAACATAGATCTCTCAGGTTGAAGATCGGCAATGAGTTGAAGATATAAATGTGATCAGGAAAAATAAGGAAAAAACCATGCCTTGCATTTACATAGTGGGGCTGTCATGTCATTGATATTCTCTTAGCATTAAACTTGAGGTAGGTAAGGCATGATTACCATTCCTCCTTTACAGGTGAAAAAGTGAAGTTCAGAGAGATTAAATGATAATGGTGGTGGTGGCAGCTACCTGTTATTAAACGTTTGTTTTTATTCATGTATTCATTCAACAAATCTTAATGGAGCACCTACTATGTGCCAGGCTCTGCTGTAGGCTTTGGAGATACAACAATTGACAAAGTAGACAGAAATCTGTGCCTTCATGGAGCTTACATTCTAGTAGGGGAAGTCAGACAATAAACAGGATAAGTAAGTAAATTATATAATGTGTTAGTTATGTTTTCTTCCTAAGTCCTGAGGAGAAAAGTGAAACAGGAAGGGGAGATGGTTTAAATTGTAAATAGAGGGTGGCTAAAGGGTTTTGACGAAAGGAATGACATGACCCGCAGAAGTTAACAAGATCATTCTGCTGTGTTGAGAACAAATTGAATTATGAATCAGGCATAAGTTAGGTCTGTATACAGGCTCTCAGGTAATCTTTACAATGACTAGTGGGCAGATAGTGAGTGTCAGAGATGTTAATAAATGTGCCTAAGATCACACATCTAGTAAGTGCCAACAACTCTATTGAAAATGCATTTGGATTTTATAACCTTATGTTCAGACCAGCTGCTTTTGTGCTTCTGTTAGGAGGGAAGAGGCTAAAATGTGTAAGGAGCTGTGTTCTTGATATTAGTCTCNCTCTCCCTCCCTCCCTCCAGTGTTTAGATTTCACTAATTGCCTGCTGGTCACTATTGTTTTTGACAAAGCCTTGGGGACATGTATTGCTCTACAGTTTGATCCAATTAAGTTCAGGCACTGGTGATTTTTGAGGCCAGTCTTTGAGGTTTGTTCTTACCCTGTGAGACCTCTTTTATGTTGTCTTTTTCTCTGGTCCTTTCTAGGAAGTTAGCTGATTCACAGTTTAGCTTGTTGCTCTCATGACTCTACCAGCCTCCTCTTAATTGCTTAACACCAAAGCTTCCATTGTTTTTGAGAACATTGTTAAGCTTGAACTTCTCCACACTATGTTTCAAATAAAGACAGTGTCTTTGAAAAGAGTTTCAGATTTCTTTGTTTTTAAGGTCTGCCTTTCCCTCTGGACAAAATCTCCTAGGGTGGGGAGGTTGGGGCCAGGACAGTGGCCCCCTTCTGTGTGATACTTCTGTTTTGCAAGCTGGGTGAGGGTGGTAGGTTCTGGTTTTCTTGGCTTGCCTTTCTCAGCATGGAACCTGTGACCTACAAATGAGGTGGGGTGAGGGCAATCAGGGCCCCCATATTCTCAGCTTGCCTTACTGAAAACTGTCAAGTATTACTGAAAGAAATTTTAAAAAAGATCTAAATAAATGGAAAGATAGCTCATGGATTGGAAGACTTAATATTGTTAAGTCAGTAAAACTCAACAGGATCTACAGATTCAATGTAATTCGATTCAAAATCTCGGTAATGTTTTTTGCAGGAATAAGAAGAATCCACTCCCAAATTCACATGGAATCTTGAAGGACTTCCCCCCCCTTCCCCCCCCCCGAAATAGCCAAAATATTCTTGAAAAAGAAGAACAAAGTTGGAGGATTTGCTTCTTGATTTAAACCTTACTACAAAGTTGCAGTAATCAAAACATTGTGATACAGGCATAAAGACAGACATATAAACCAGTGGAATAGAATAGAGATCCCAGGGAAAAAAACCCTTACTTATGTGGTCAAATGATTTCCAACAGTGGTGCCAAGACTATTCAGTAGGGGAAAAGACAATCTTTTCATCAATTGGTAGTGGGAAAATGGTATGCATATGCAGTAGAATGATGTCTGACCCTGAATTTATGCCATAAACAAAATTAATTCAAAATGGGTCAAAAACCTCAGCATAAGAGCTAAAAGTATAAAAGTATAAAGAAGTATAAAAGTATAAAACTCTTAGAAGAAAACATAGGGGGAAAGCTTTACGACATTGTATTTGGCGGTGGTTTCTTGGATATGACACCAAAAGTACAAGTAACAGAAGAAAAAATAGATAAAATGGAGTTCATCAAAATTTAAAACTTTTGTACACTGAAAGATACTATCAAAAGAATGAAAAGTCAACCTACACAGTGGGAGAAACTATTTGCAAATCATATATCTAATTAGGGACTAATATCCAGAATACATATAGAACGCCTAAAACTCAACAATTAAAACCAAACAGTCCTGTTCAAAAATGGAAAAAATGACTTTAATAGACATTTCTCTAAAAAAAATACACAGATATCCATAAGCAGATGAAAAGACACTTGACATTGTTAACAACTAAGGAAATGCAAACCAAAATCACAGTGAGCTACCACTGCACATCCATTAGGATTGCTGTTATCATAGAAACAGAAACGTGTCGGTGATGAGGTGGAGAAATTTGAATCTTAGCATATTGCTAGTGTGTAAATGGTACAACCACTATGGAAAACAGTATGGCAGTTCCTCAAAAAATTAAAAACAGAATTACTATATGACAGCAATTCCACTTCTGGGTGTGTATCAAAAGGATTGAAAACAGCAACTCAAGCAGATATTTTTACACCCATAGTTATTACAGCATTCATAGCACCAAAAGTTAGAAACAACCTAACTGCCTATCAACAGATGATTGGATAAACAAAATGTAGCACAGACATGCAATCGGGTATTATTCAGCCTCAGAAAGGAAAGAAATTCTGACACATGCTACCACATGGATGAACCTTGACGATATTATGCTAAGTGAGATAAACCAGTCTCAAAAAGACAAAAATAGTTATATGATTCTACTTACATGAGATAACTAGTCAAATTCATAGAGACAGAAAGTATAATAGAATGGTTGTTGCCGGGGGCTGGACAAGGGAGAAATGGGGAGTTAGTGTTGAATGGGTACAGAGTTTCAGTTTGGGAAGATGTCCTGAAGATGGATGGTGGTGATGGTTGCACAACAGTGTGAATATACTTAATGCCACAGAACTGTACACTTAAAAATGGTTAAAATGGTAAATTTTGTGTTATGTATATTTTACTATAGTTAACAAAAAAAAAGAAGTGAGCTTTCTCTTCCTCTTCTTTTCCCTTCCCCTCCTGAACAATTCAGTCTAAAAGCCACTGGGAAGGGCCATGAAAAGTAGGCATCCACACCAGAGAGTGGGTCAGGCTGCAGTGTAGCAGGCCAGGCAGGGTGAGCGGGATCCACAGGAGGGTCACTCAGCAGTCACTGGAACACTTGAGATAATCGGTGAAGCTTGAGTGAGGACTGAGGAGTAAAGGGCAACTATTAATGTATCAGTCATAATTTTCTGATTTGGGGGAATTGTAGAGAACATTTTTGTTTATGGGAAATACATGCTAAGTAAGTTATTTGGAGTATTGACATAAGAAACGTCCAAACCTGTAGAGAAGTTTGAGCCAAACTGACAATTGCCGGGAAGCAAAATCTAAACGGATTAAGAAAATGCTCCAGAAAATGGCAGTTTCACAGCTTATTTTATACATTAGACTCAAAGGAGGAGACACAAGGAGGGTTACATTAAATCCATTGGTGGTAGATTAAGGGGGTGGGAGAGAGCAAAGTGGGAAAATCTCTGGGATTGGATACAAAGTAAAATGGAGAGACACATACTTCTTTTATATCGTTGAGCACAGAATAGTTAACAATTAACATTTACAGCAGCACATAGAGATGGTATTTGGGAACAGGATAACAATGAGGGGTTCTGTAGTCTGGTGCTCTGGTGCAGTGGGATGTGCCTTGAGGAGTCCAGAAAAATGGACTACTCTGGCATTCTAAGGGTATGTTATCTTAGATGCAAAAAGACAATAGACAGGGTCACTTAAGGTAAAGATTGACCTTTGTCAAAGAAGCTACAGGCCATGGATGTGACTACCGGCCATGCCTCGCTTTTAGTTAGGAATTTTTATGTTCAGACCATCTTATGTTGTTAATTTCTGTCTCAGAGTTTGTAGAGCCTGCCATGCTGGCCTTCTCTGAGCTTGTCAAGTTTCGTATGAGGCCCCTTTTTCATCCACAGGAGTTATGGGGCAGCTGTCTGCCATGTATTCTTAAATGGTTCAAGAGAAAATATTCTTTGTATTATAACTTTTCTGTTAGTTTGAGATTGTTTCAAAATAAAAAATAAAATCTCTCCAAAAAGTTTTTAAAATTAAAACTAAGTTATTCAATTGTGTTGCATGCTGCTATGCAGTCAAATAAGACAGTCCGCCTTAAAACAGAGATCATTGGAGACCTTCCCAAGAGCAGTTTCCAGTGGACAGTGGAGGTAGAGACCAGAGTTAAATAGAGGTTGAGGGTGAGACAGGTGACAAATGAATATGGCAGATGCAGTCAGCTTTTTTAGGAGTTTAACTGTGAAGGCGGAAGAAGGGCCCTTTAAAGAAGGGGAATCATAGTGCAGGGTCTGGAAACAATGATGTATACTAGTGATGTTTGAAAAATTAAGAGTTAAACTAAATGGGGGGAAGGGGGGAGTCTTGGAGAAGTTCTGTCTTCAGATATTTGAAAACCTTGAAATGGATTTTGGCTCAACATTAAAAAAACCTCTTGAGCTGTCCAGCAGTTGAATAGTTACTTAGTGAGAAGTGAGCCTCCTGTCACAAAAAGTGGAAAATGAGAGGCTGGGAAGTGGGTGTTACATCCCAGTTCCTGGATGTGACGCCTAGGTTGATTTAGGACTGAGACTCAATGGATATCCGGCTCCCACTGCATCCTCAGGCCTATTGTTGCATGAGTGTTTAAGTAGGAGTTCTTAGCCCTTTCTGAAATCTTGAGTATAACAGGAAATTGCCAATTCTTGGGGTTCCACATCTCTTGGGCTCTATAGTACTTTAACCACTGATGTGTAGAAATTAAAGAGAAAAAGGCTGAGGGTTCACAGGAACCTTTAAGTGGGTTTTTTTGTTGTTTATTGTGCTTATCACAAATGTAGATAATGTCACATTTGCAATGACCAGAATGTCATTTGGTTCCTTAAATATCACTCTAGGTGGTTCTGAGTAAAAATGTGGGTGAGTCTGATTGCCCACACACAAACAGGCCAATGGCCACAAAGGTATATAATATTGTGTGGAGACTGGAGTGGGGAGTGTTCCTTATGCTGGGAGGAAGGCCTTTTGTGCACTGGTGATTACAGCAGCTTGGGGGAGTATAGGATTGCTCCTGGGGATTATCCTTTGTATTGTTTTTCTGCTTTTTCTTAGAGCCTGACTTTTTTTTAGAGACAGCATATTTGGAAGTGAGAAGGGTAAGAACAGTAATGAGGCAGGGTCCCTTATGATTTTATATTCATGGAATATAGAAAACTGACATTGTTTTATGTATTTAGAAAAACATGTTGTCAGAGGAGGAAAAAAATAGATGGGTTGTTAGCAGGTAAGTGGGAAAACCACAGCAGTGTTAGTTCTTGTGGCTTACAAATAAGTGCCTGTGCAGGAAGGAGGAAAGGAGAGTAGAGATGAGCGCAGCTTAGGATAATGAGCTTCTACAGAAGCTCTCTTGGCTGCCAGGAAAAAAGACCCTGTATCTTTTAAACATCTGTTGAAAGCATGGCCCTTCATAAAACTACTCTAAAAATTCCATTCTATGTAAAATATGAAATAGAAACACCGCTGAAATACCATTTGGAGATAGAGACAGAGAGATAGTGACAGACAGAGAGCCGGTGGTGGGGGCGGTACAGCCTGACATTAACTAGGGCGGAGGCGGACAATCAGTGGTTGTTAAGAGTTTCTGCTTTCTTTATATCCTTTATCCTCAAGTTACAACCTCCCACTCATCCAATTCCTTAAAAAAAAAAGTGATACTTAGATTTTTTTCTATGCCTCTGCTAAGACATTATCCAAGCTTATTTTTCCCTAGTCACCAACAAAAGGCATACAATTGTTTTTCAGAGGCCTGGCTACTGTAACAACCCAATAAAGGCATAACGAAGAATTGGGTTTTCACATTCTGAAAATAAAAATATAAAAGCAAATGTCTTCTGATTAACATATCAGCCCTACAAATAGCTTTATTTGTTCTATCCAAGAATTTAATAGTTCTATCAAGAAAACAAAGATTTCGTTTTTGAAAAATGGAATGATGTTTCAATATGTTATAAGGTATCCAGCAGGTCACACTTCATTACAATTAACTTTCTATCCACCCTGTTCCAGAGAGGAGTAGAAAGAGAATTTTTTTCAACATGTTTAGAGACTAGATATGAAAGGAATAAAAGAATTTAAACCTTTTAATATGTGTGCAAAAGGCAGTGTTGGCATCATAAAGACATTTTTCTAAATCCATTACAGTATTTTAGATGTAATTCTTTGAGCAGTCAGGTCTTTTAAACGTGTTTGAGAAACAAAATATTGAGTAGTCGCAATTGAGAAATAATTTATTTAAAATACATGTTATTCCTCCGCACATTTGAACAATCTGTCCAATGCAATTTACATGGGACTTTGCCTGTGCAGTTCTGAGTGGGAATCAGTAGTTTCTTTGTGTGTCGCTATGGAAACAAGTCAACCTATCCTGAAGGGCTGTTAGATCATGCAGAGTGATGCTCACATCGCAGAGCAACTTCATCACGGAGCAAGCTGGTGCTGCCATCTCCTCGCCCAGCTCTCCTCCTGAGAGCCCAGCACCATGCAGGACCCACCCCGGAGGCTTTTGGCCCTGCCCTTCCTCAGCAGCTTCCTCCAGGGCCGTCGGCACTCTGCCTCAGACCCTGTCCTGCAGCTGCCGCAGGGCCAGTGTGGCTCTGCCACCAAGATGCTCTCCTCATCCTCTCTCCAGGTGATGGTGGCGGTGTCCTCTGTCAGCTGTGCCAAGAGAAACCCAACTTTCCCCGAGAGAAAAAGTAAAGTTTCTTTTCTTCTTAAACATTGCCACACCTTTGAGTTTGAATTTAAGGGATGTGAAGAGGCTGTGCTGTGTTTATACCTTTTTAAGTTTTGACAATTCTACATTATACTTTTTTACTGTCT